TTCCCGTGGGCTGGTGATACGGCTTTCTTCAATGACATCCTAATAACATTATCATGCACCAATTTATAGGTAAGGTTTTTTTTCTGAGAAGCGAAACCTATTCAGGCATGGTCCAGTGAATGGTAAGTATTTCTAACCATATGTCGCAACTACGGTGTATGGGAGAGAGTAGAATTGGTAGAGAAAACTGTGTAAAATCAAAGCCACACAAAGCACAAACTATAAATCGCATTCAAAAAATAGAGGAGCCGAAACAACAGCAGCAGTGCAGCTGTACTGCTGCACAATCTAGACAATTATTAGTTTATAATTCAAGAACTCAAAAGATTAAAATATTAATCAGGTAACTGACAGAATAAAATAAAGTTCACAAGTATCGGCATTTCAGGAATTCAAGAAGGCCAATTTTCAAAAAAAAGAAAGTGGGAAGCTGGAAATCAAGTAATTTAAATGTCAAAAATTTCAAGTTGCCGCCATTATTAAAGGTTGCAAGCATTACCGTAATCTCGCGCTAGGCGCGCAAATGTGGACGAGCGTCAACACGGGCGGCGCGTTCTATCAGATGTTCACTTTTTTCATTCTTGAGAATCCGGAAGTTAGTTGACGTCCGAAGTTTTGAGCTCGGACCTAGGACGTTAGGTCCTTGTGCTGCAAGCGTAGCTGTGATAATTTCTTCTGATCAAAAGGCTTTTTAATGCGTCTTGCATTCTAGCCAATGATTTCTTTGAAGTTTCTTATTTTCTAGTTGTTTCTGACTTTTATTTTGTGGTGTATGCGCAGTGTAGAACGCTTGAAGTCTTTGCATAACTTCACAATTGATCCGCTCTTTTGTAAATTTGGAAGTTGATCGACGGTTGAATTTTTGAGCTCAGAACTGAGGCAATTCTTTATAGTGTTAGCATTACTGTGATGATTTCGTCTAGCCAAATGAGTTCTTGAGGCGATTATAAATTTTTCGAAATTTCCGATTTTTTTCTACCTGATTTTCATTTCATCCTACTTGTTTAGTATAGAACGCTTGAGGTTTTTGCATGGCTTCACAACTAGTTCGTTCTGTTGCTCGAGCAACTCTTTCTCGAGGAAATGTAGTGCGAGCTATTTCGACAAGCAGTACCCTATCTGCCAAAGACAATGTTATGGAGAAATGGCCTGCCGAGAGTAAGCTTTATAGCCTATTAACCTCTATTTAGCCATGTTTAACTGCAATTTGTGTAAGTATGGCATTACATTATTCCAAATTATATCTAGTTTTTGTTTTGAAAAATATTGCCGTTAAAATAATACGGGATGCTAGTTTTTGACTTAGCGGTGCGTTGAATCTGCCTGAACAATGTCTGGTTATTTCTTTTTTTT